ATCAAATGCCCGATGATAATCTGTCTGACGAGAATACAGATTCAATACCATTCACACACGAAGAACTGTGTGAGCCACCGAGATTACAAATCACTGAAGAAGCACTAGTCCATGAGCCATCTAATTGCAATAGAATGCAAACCCGAAGTCAAACAAAAAATAAGAATATTTGTCAAGAAATATTATCGCAGAAAAATGAAGGTGAAATAAAAAAAGTAGGAAATAGAAACGATCCACCGGACAAGGAAAGAGATATCGAAGAAGATGCAAGTACCGAAGATGACGAAGACAAAAAATCGGACAAAAATAACAAAAATCAAGACTCGAAAATAAAGATAACTAGAAATAACATAATAAATAGTCGCGATTTATTATTTCTAGGGATAATATTGCTTATTTTGTTGACACGACGGAAGACCATTAGATTCAGGCTCTCAGAAACTTTTCGAAAAAAACGAGATCCCTTGTCTAAGAGATCTCCTGACCGTAGGCCAAGCCAAAGCTATAAAATATAAAAAGCATTACCATATTACTTTGCCTGTTAGCAAAGGACACCGTGAAAGTCTGACGATAACATTCTCTCAAATTTCTACAATGGTAAAAGATTTACGAACCATCATTGAAAAATTAAAATTAGAAACCATTAGTATCGCAGAAACGGATTTTGTTAATAACGTACCATGAAATGATATCAAATCTTTGTTACAATTATCTTTCATCGATTCAATAACTAAATTAATAATATGCAATGGATTAATCAAATGTTCACTTAAAGATTTTCGATCTGTTATAATCGGCGAAATGCATTGCTCGCCCACTGGAGGACATCAAGACGTTATAAAAACATATCACAGGATAAAACACAATTATTATTGGGAAAATCTAAAATCTGATATTCAACAATATATTCAGCAATGTTTGTAATGCCAATTAAAAAAATTAGTAAGAGTCAAAACTAAACAACCAATGATAATCACCGACATGCTAGGAGCTTCTTTCGACAAGGTAGCAATGGATATCGTAAGACCTCTGCCAAAAACAGAAAGAGATAATGAATATATTTTAACCTTGCAAGATTAATTAACGAAATTTTGCATGGGAATACCACTGCCAGATTAGGCTCTTCCGAAACAACAGCAGAAGCTTTTGTAGATAGATTAATTTGCGCATTAGGAGCATTCAAAGCTATATTAACCGATCAAGGAAAAAATTTCATCAACGATTTAATGAAAAAGGTTGTAAAAATTTTCAGAATACGCAAATTCCACACAATCGCTTTTTACCCACAATCAAATAGATCATTAGAAAGATCGCATCATGCTTTGGGCGAATATTTGAAACAATATGCAAATTCGCAAAAACATTGGGATAGATGGATCAGCCTTGGAATGTTCAATTACAATACTAACATACATGAGACAACAAAACACACTCCGTACGAATTGATATTCGGAAAAATAGCTGGAATACCTTCAAACGAATCTTTAGCACCGAATGACAAATTACAATGATTATTTAATAAATCTTGTCACGCAACTCTATTCCATACAGACAAATGCTCGTGAGAATGTCATCGAAGCTAAAGAAAAATTAAAGAAACATTACGATAAGAAAATTAATCCGCCGACCTTTAAGCTTGGAGATCAGGCATTTTTACTAAAAGGACCGAAATCCGGTAAATTTGGAGATCAATACAGGCCCACACGAAATCCTAGAAATATTAAATAGAAACAATATTAAAATAAAATTAAAGAAAAATAGTCGCATTGTTCATTTCAACCGCTTGCGAATTTCTCACATTAACCCAGCTCGCAGTGATTAAACAAGCAATTAAGCAAGTCAAATCAACATTTCAGATAATGGATCGTTGCATCAAAGGAATAATTGTTATATTTATAAATAACAAATCGAAGGACTCTTCCTATACAAAATAAATAATAATAAATAAAGGACAAAATAAGAGTCGACACATTTCTTTAAAATTACATGAATATATTACAGAATATATTACAATTAACAAGAACTAAAATTACATAAAGCAAAAATAAAATTAAAACTAAAAAGATAATAAAAAGTGACAAGTTTCGGCTATCGGATTGAGACCTCTTCAGACATTAACATAACAATAAAATCATAGTACAAAATCAATTATCGCAAATGATCGCATATTCATTACATTCACAGTTCGGGTGAGTCTTGATGTAGAGCTCGACATTATTTCCGTACGATTGAACAATCAAATGTATTAAAAATATCTTGGCAAAGCTCTAGATGATAAAAAAGATAAAAAAACTTCTTACAAAAAAAATACACGCAAATAAATTAACATACCGAAAATTTAATAAAAAATAAAAACTCACCAAAAATCATATGTAAAATATTCAAACAAGCGTGTCCATAAAAGAATAAAAAACTTTTAGAATATATACAGAAAAAAGAAACGCAGATGTGTAAGACGGACATTATGTGTCGATTATTACGTACGTTCGCTAGTGCGGATCACCACAGGCTGAGAGAAGAGACGGACTGTTAGTACGAAAAAGTCAAACTTTATTTATGATAGGTATATAAGCCTTGTGGAAGCCTTCGGTGTCAGTTTGTAAATTGAGACCATTCTTCTGCTTTCTGATATTAAGCATCTCGGAAACCAAACGTCTCTGACAGCAAGGCTCTTCGTCTAAAATTTTGACTTTGTCTCATTGAAAATCGTGATCATGCTGTCGCCTATGCTCCGTTATGACAGAACGGTCAGAAGTGTCATCTAATGCAATTAGATGGCTCATGGACTAGTGCTTCTTCAGTGATTTGTAATCTCGGTGGCTCACACAGTTCTTCGTGTGTGAATGGTATTGAATCTGTATTCTCGTCAGACAGATTATCATCGGGCATTTGATCTTCATCTTTCTCGTCGTCGGAAAGATATAATTCAAAATTTTCGTCCTCTTCTTCTTCGTCGGTTCTTTCTAACATTCTAGAAACTATTTCTACGTCTTCCTGATGTCAAGATTTAATGATCTATTAGGCTTAATTGTTTTGCAATTTCTTCGAGATTTACAGGATTTCTTGATAGAGCGTCAGCGTTTGCGTTGTTTTTCCTGCTTTATGTACAACATTATAGTTATATTCGGCAAGTCTCCAGCAGAATATTCTCATATTTGCATCTTGTGCATTCTTAAATCAGAGTAATGGTTTATGATCTGTGATCAACGTGAATTTTCGTCCATAAATATGGTCGAAAATGTTTAACACAATACTATATATGTATACTATTGCTTAGTATATAGTATTGTGTTAAACATTAGAAGCTAACGCTTCTTTTTCATATGTCTCATATTTTACTTCGTTGTTGGTTAATGTTCGCGAGGCGTATGCTGTTGGTCTTTATTTATTTCTCCTTGTGATAAGATGCCTTTCACGGCTATTCCAGAAGTATCTGTCGTTAAAATGAAAGGTTTTGAAAAATCAGGATAGTATAAAACAGACTCTTCGCATAATCTTTGTCTTAATCAAATCTCAAATGATTCTTCTTGAACGGATGTCCATTCGAAAGCCGTGTCATTCTCTAATAAGTTTGTTAGTGACTTCGCTAATTTCGAGAAGCTTGGTATAAATCTGCGATAATATCCTGCTAATCCCAGAAATTGTTTAATATTTTTCGAAGTCTTAGGTCTCGGAAAATGCCTTACGGCGTCTAACTTTTTTGGATCCGGTCTGACTCCATCTTTGTTGATTACGTGCCCTAAATATGTTACTTCTATTTTCAAGAATTCGCATTTATCTGGCTGTAATTTCAGATTAGCTTTTCGAAGTCAGTCTATTAATAAATTATATTTTCTTGCGTGTTTTTCTAACGATGTGACAATGTCATCTATCTAAAAAAATAATTCCTGGCCTTGTAATCCTGATAGTACTAGATCCATTAAACTTTGGAAAGTAGCAGGAGCATTTTTAATCCGAAAGGCATGCGTTCGAATTTGTAATGCTCGAAAGGAGTTGTAAAAGCAATTTTATGGCCATCCGCAGGATTCATTTTTATTTGATGGAATCCGGAAGCCAAATCACATACAGAAAAATTTGTACTCCGCCTAATTGATCTAGAATGCCAACAATATTAGGTAACAGATATGCATCTCCGACAGTTTTTTTCATTCAGAGCGCAAAAATCTAACACCATTCTTTATCTCTTGTTTCCTTTCGAGTCCTCTTTTTTCGGGATTATCCATATGGGCGTATTGTAAGGCGATTGAGAAGGCTTTACTATGCCTCCTTCGAGTAGTTCTTCGACTTACTTATTTATTTCCTTTTTATGAAATTGTGGAAATCTGTATTGTCGTTGTTGTTTATAGGTCGATCTGTTGTAGGTATTTGATGTTGCAATACGTTGTAGTTAATTTTTGTTCAAGAGTATGAAATCTGTTCTGACTATTGGATATAAGATTTATTATGTTTTTCTTTTCTTATTCATTCAAGTGTTCCAAACGTAATAATTTCTGTACATCTATTCTTATTAGGTTCCTCTGACAATGTAAAGCATTCGAGTGATATCTTTATTATCTTTTTCTGCTCTCTCCTTATGTTTTGGTTCATATTTACGGACGAATTTCTTTATTACTTCTTAGGATTGAATTTGCGTTGATGCAGGAATTTTCGAAGACGGTTTACTTTTCTGTTCACAATTATAAAAGGATCTGACATTTGAATCATATAATTTTATTATTTTCACGAGTTCTCTTTATTAGTAACATGAGAGGTTTGATTATTATTGTTGGGACATGCCGAGCCTGACGAGGGCGTGACGATCGCAGGAGAGAGTCAGTCCTGCGACCCGCGCTCATGGGTTAACACGTGTGCCACGCCGGGCCCTAACCTTGTACTTACAGCAAATATACATCACGAATATAAGAACGTTTGTGTAGATTGATCATCGTCGTGCAAATCCTAACAACTGCGGCTTTTTTTTCCCCGAACCTTTTCTTTATACGGACAAGAATTCAACTAACATGACGACACCAACGTCACAAATCGAGGCTCTCACTGCTGCCATTAACAGTTTACTTCAATTGCAACTCCAACGAGATCATGCCCAAAATGTAAATCCGAGCTCATCGACTACAATTAATACTATTAATCGTATACAATCAATTAAATGCTCGCATCGAGAAATATGTGTTCACCTCGGACGACGATTCGAAACCATTCCCAAAATGGCTGTTACGGTACACTCGGAATATACGGAATATACACTCGTCAAAGAATCAGAGTCTCTTCCCGCAGAAATGCGCACTCGTTTACTTCTAGACAACCTGAGTCAACCAGAATTCGATCGTTTAGTGGACCACGTCGCACCAGCGGATCCGACCAAGATGAAACAAACAGATCTCATCGCCATTTTGAAGAATCTCTTTCGTGACAAGACATCTCTCACCCGCCGTCGCATCGAAATCTTAAACTATAGATATGACAAAGCTATCTCCGAACACATCGACCGAATAAATCGTTTGGCTTCAGATTTCGAACGTTCTAAACTCACGGATGATAATTTCAGAGTTTTATGTATTACTCCTCCAATCACTCTGTTTCTCAAGTGATAACGAGGATCTAAAAAAGAGGGCTCTATGTATAATCGAGAAGAACGAAAATGCTACTCTCAGGGATATCACTACAGAACTCGAGGCTCATATGAACGTATCTACAAACTTGAAAACGCTCGAAAATCCATCGAATCTCTCCACTTCAACCACGCAGTCTGTGCGCTTCAAATCAGAAAAGAAGAAACGGCCTTCATCAAAATCCATGAAACAGTCTTGCACCACGGAGAGTGTGCCTAGACAATCGTCCAATTGCAACGGCTGCGGTGGCGCACATCGTCGTGCAAACTGTCCGTTCCGCGACGCCACATGTTTTAAGTGTTCCTTAAAGGGCCACATCGCGAAGGTGTGTCGCTCGAAGGATAAGGTCGACTACCTTTCGGCCGACAACACAATCGATAACACAATTGATATCGATAAGCCAGCAATTCAATCGATAACTTCGCTCAACAACTATCGACGCATCTACATTCCTACGTCATTACTCGACCAACATGTACAATTTCAATACGATAGTGGATCAGATATCACGACCATCGGGAAAGACACGTGGATACGTCTAGGCAGTCCTACACTTAGCTCCGGCAAATCTGTGGAACACGCCGGGGGCAATGCTCTGAAAACATTAGGAAGATTCAAGTATAAAATACGGGCTGCTAACCGTGAAGGTGATGTAGTGATAGATGTTGCCGCGCGCGACGGCCTTAACCTATTCGGCTTAAACGCTATCGACAAGCTCAATTTGTGGGCTATGCCTCTCGACAAGTGCCGTGAGTTCTGTGAAAATTCACAACGCGCGGTTGTTAAACACAACAAAACAAATTCCCCCGTCGAGTCGCCACCATCACCTCCAGCATCAAACGACCACATCGTGAAAAATTTTCCAAAACTCTTTTCCAAGGGCCTCGGGCAGTGTAAAAATTTTCAAGCTAAACTTACGTTATCCGAAAACTCTGTCCCAGTGCAAACTCCATGTCGGCAAATCCCGTTCGCGATAGAAACTCTCCTAGATGAGGAATTGCAGCGTTTAAAATCCTTAGACATAATCGAACGCGTACATCAATCGGATTGGAGTACACCTATCGTCATCGTAAAAAAACTAAACGGCAAAATCCGTTTATGCGCTGATTACTCCACAGGCGTGAATAAGGCATTGAAAAATAACATGTATCCTTTACCGAACATAGATTCTATAGTATCTAAACTAAATGGTAATAGTTATTTCAGCGTTTTAGATCTCAGTGATGCGTTCTTGCAAATCGAAATCGCTGAAAGATATCGTGATGTCACCACGATCGCAACACCGAAAGGCCTTTTCAGATACAAACGTCTACCCTTTGGCATCAAGATGGCCCCAGCCACATTTCAACAAGCCATGGATCAATCGATTTCAGGGTTGGACGGCGTCGGCGCCTTCATCGATGATATCTATATCGCAGGTTCTACCCGTCAAGAACACTATATACGTCTTCGCTCAACTTTACAACGCCTCGAGGCTCTGGGATGGAAGTTGAAACCCGAGAAATGCCGCTTCGCTCTACACGAAATCAAGTATCTCGGTCTTATCATCAATGGCTCAGGCATCGCCGCAAATCCTGAAACTACTCGAGCGATTACGAGTATGCCTAATCCTTCCTCCGTGGCGGAAGTCCAAACACTCTTAGGAATGATAAACCACTACGGAAAATTTATACCACATCTTCATCAGTTAAAGAAACCCTTAGAAGATCTCACAAGAAAGAACCAATCATAGACGTGGAACGTACAACACAACACTACAATGCTACACATCAAGAAAATCTTTCTTAGCCGCCTACTCTTAGAGCACTTCGATCCTTCAAAAACACTCATCGTAGTTGCAGACACTTGCTCTACAGGAATCGGTGGAGTACTCCTGCAGCGAGACGCGTACGGGCACGAACGCGCTGTCTACCATATATCACAAAGTCTAACAGACTCTCAGCGCAACTATTCCCAGCTCGAAAAGGAAGCTCTTGCATTGGTTACGGCAGTCGAACGATTCCATAAATTCGTCTGGGGAAGGAAGTTCATCCTACAAACCGACCATAAACCGCTTGTCGCTCTCCTCCAATCTGAAGACACAAAAGGTCTAAAACCCACAACGGCTCGTCTCAAGCGCTGGGCCATAAGACTACTAGGTTACGACTTTGAAATCGAATATGTCCACTCACAGGACTTCGGTCAAGCAGACGCTTTATCGCGTTTAATACAGAAATTCCGCCACGATAACAGTGAAGACTTACAAGTAGCCTGTGTCCGTGCAGTGGAAAACGAAATCCAACGAATCAGAGACTTCTCCATCGATAAATTTGGAGAAGAACTTCGTCTCAAGTTAAGATCGGCTACCAGTACTGACCCCGACCTCCAAGCTATCATGGAAGCTATTCGGAACAATAAAACTCCTACTATCAGTTCACCTACGGTGGAACACTATAAGAAACGTCTTGACTTCCTGTCAATCGTCGACGACACCTTACTATTCGGAGACAGAGTAATCATACCTCAAGGTATTCAAGCCAGTATCCTGTTATCTCTGCACAAAGGCCATCCCGGTATTCGAAGAATGAAGCAGCTCGCACGTGAATACATCTACTGGCCAAAACTTTCCGAGGATATCGAACGTATAGTAAAACGATGCGACCCCTGCGCACTAACACGCAAATTACCAGTCAAGATTTCAATCTCTCCGTGGCCAATCCCCTCTAAGCCTCTAGAACGCTTATATGTGGATTACGCAAGACCGATAGACGGCCAATATCTACTCGTCTTCGTGGACGCATTTTCAAAATTTATCGAAGTGGCTATCACGCCAACTATTTCTGCAGCACGCACAATAGAAATATGTCGGGAAATATTCTCCAGATGGTCCGCCTGAAATATTAATAAACGATCATGGAACGCAATTTACAGCAGATATCTTCGCAAACTTTTGCAAAGAGATGCACATCAGTCACATTCTCTCCGCCGTCAACCACCCTCAATCTAACGGACAAGCTGAGAGAATGGTCGACTCCGTAGTAAAAAGAGCTACCGCAAAAAATCCTTCCAACTGGAGGAAAGAACTTCAAGACTTTCTTTACAGTTACAGATATACACCTTGCTCCGCAACCTCAAATGGAAGATCTTCAGCCGAATTAATGTTTGGCAGACGTATTACCTCTCCTTTCACCAAATTACTTCTTAAACTACCAGTACCCCCATCCACTTTTCCAAACAATCTCACGCAGAAACAGTTGGAGATGCAACAACAATTCGAACATCATCACGGAGCTCGTCACATAACTCTCAATTTGGGAGACCGAGTCCTCGTGGCACTAAAAGACAAACGCGAACAGGGATACATCAAGAACATCTTATCGAATACACGCTATCTAATACTACTGGACAGTGGCAGGTCGGTCGAACGACACATTAACCACATTTGGATAGGAGGTAGCGCCCCGGCGAATCCTGATTCTTTAACCTCAGATGACTGGACCCACTACGAGCCTGAACCGGTACAGAACCCAGCGGAGCCCCGACCTGGTATCCCGGCTCTTCCACAAGGAAACCTTTATCCAGGACCCGCCCCTAGCGAAACTCCAGCCAGGCCTTTCCGTCATAGAGTCCAACCACGGAGGCTCGTTCTGGATCCTAAGGCAAAGTCCTATACTCAGCTGTAGTCTCTCAAGAGGCGAGATGTTGGGACATGCCGAGCCTAACGGGGGCGTGACGATCGCAGGAGAGAGTCAGTCCTGCGACCCGCGCTCATGAGTTAACACGCGTGCCACGCCGGGTCCTAACCTTGTATTTACAGCAAATATACATCACGAATATAAGAACGTTTGTGTAGATTGATCATCGTGCAAATCCTAACAATTATTATCCATGGATGTTCCTCTGGAGAAATTGATTTCTTCTGGGAGTATTAAAAAGTCCTTTCCTTTAGATTCTTTTAAATAAAATTGAGTCACATTGCGTAGTGAGATTTGGTTACTTTCCTTCTCGCAATCAACAGGAATAGAATTTATCAGGGAGGTACGGAAACCATCCTCTGAAATTTTAGGATTATTTAATTTTTTCGGAGAGATTTGGAAATTTTCTTCTCCCAGGATTTTGGAATTAATTTGATTTTCAGGAGGGTTTGGTAACTTCCTTTCGTGGATTTTGAAATCTAGAGTCTCGATGAAGGTTTGAGAACCTTTCTTTGGATTAAAATTTTTATTTAATTTTTTATTTCCTCTCGCAATTTCTCGAATTTTTCCTTTAACTTTATTCTCATCTTTATTTTGGATAGTGTTATTAGTATCTTTCTTTGCTTTATTTAACGTCATATTTTCTTCAATTTTAATTTTCCCGACTTCATTATTCATAGACTCGTTTTTGTCATTCTTTAAATCTGCATCGCAGTTGGGTATTTCATTACGCTCTTAGTGGTTCGGGTCCGTAAAATCGATCTGTATATCCGCAATTTCTGTTTGGTCGTCTTGCGTTTTGATATTTAATTTGTGATTATCGAATAATTTGTCTAGAGGTTTAAAACGCAAGATTGGCACTTGAACTTCTAATTCTTCGTCCAACGTACTTATGACGTTTAGATACGCCTTTCCAGAGACATTTTCTATTATGATGTCTCCTAAATAAATTCCGTGAGCTATTTTTATTCTTCTCGGAATATATCCAATTTTTATTTCAGGATTTTCTACTCTGACGTAAAATAGAGATTCCGAGCGCGGAGATGCAATGATGATTTCTGGTGACAAGAAGAGTACCTCTATTCCCGACGTATCTAGGTATCCTTTCGCATAATCTATTTTTGAAGAATTCTTGGCCTAAAAAAATCATTGCCTAATATGCTGGATTGTGAAATAGGAAAGTCATTAGATGCGATATGAAAAATTATTTCTTTTCCAAAAACCGATAAAGTTATTTTTCCGAGTGTAGACGGAATATTTGTTTATGCCGTTTAGTTTTAAAATATTATTATAGTCAATAGTGCTGCCTAGGTATAAAAGTTTCTTTAATTATGTTCGGTCCTGAGCCGGTGTCTAGCATAAGAGTTACGACCAGAATGGACTCGCAAAAATTTGCTTCGACAGTAGGCGACCGTGAGTTTACTGAGATGTGTCATTATTACGGGTCGTATTTCTAATACGCTTTTGTCTATTGCCCCTTTTGAGATGTCGACGGAGGAGATTCGTTCGGACCTCTGTTGCACATTCGCCTTCGAGGAACCGTCGGAGTTTCCCTGATGGGTGATCTTTCTCCGGTTATTGCTCGCAATACACAACTGGCATTCTTCAAGGAGGTGAAGAATTCTGTTTCCTTACGATAGAGACAGAATACGCTATTTTTCGAATTACTCTGTTGATTTAATTTTAAACAGCAATCTCTAACAATATGCCTCGGATTATTGCAAGTGCGGCAAATAATTTTTGTTTTATTATCGAAATTGCGTTCAGTTTTGCCTTTGCCAGCAATTGACAGCGCGATGGTCAGATTTAATAGCTATATTAGAGCGGTTCTAATTCAGGTCCTCTGAGGGTGGCGCGGGGCGCGGGAGAGGGAAGGCGCGTGAAGGTCCCGACTGTTTACATAGGACCCCGGTCGCGTTAAGAGAAGCATTGATGCTGTTTATATAAACATACCAATAAGATGTGAAAAATATAAACTAGAAC